CTGCAATAATTTAATAGCCACGTTTTACTAACTCTGCACACAATAGGAAGTGACATTTGAATGTCTACTGTCATACTGTAATTGTCTGTTTTGCTTGATTATGCAACCCTATTTTCCATTTCCATCTCATCACATCAGGTTGATGTTGCTCTTAAAGCATATACAAAGCATGGTTTGAGACATATTTTTTAAGTGCGTAGGAAAGGTTCCATGGTTACAGTGACGACAGGGATTTCGCTGATAATGTTCCTGTGTGAGATAATGTTTTGCAGTTAAAATACCAGCTGCGATCACACTTGACTGCAACTGAGAAAAGAAGGCATGTAATGTTCACCGGAGTATTAATGCAGGAGAGGAATCGTCGTAAAATATACTGTAATGAAAGCTAATTGATATTTAGCTAAGAATATGCTAAGAAATAAGATCTCATTTTTGTCCTATTGTCCTATATCTTTAAAATTGTGTAGTCATGTGAGAGTTTTTTCTTCATGTACAAGTACATAAATCTCTCTGACCTCTGTTGTAAATTTGTAGTTTTACAATGATCAGTGTGTAGTTAGCCCATTTAACTGATCTTGTCATAAATGGCATTAAAGTCATTTTGACTCATTTTGGGAGATAGATCAGCCACAACCTGTAAAGCCCTTACAGGTCAAGTGGATAGCCTCGTTCATCTTGTATCAATGCTATATTTTGCTGTTGTAGTATACCCTTGAGATGTTAAGGGTGACTGTGGCTGAGGGGTAAGAGCATTTTTCAGCCTATGGAGCAATTGGTGGTTCGATCCCTAGTTATGACTTTGTGTGCTTGTGTAAGATTACTGACTGCATTCATAGCAGTCAGTTAATGTTATTAACAAAATATTTGTACATGTTTAATCATGTTTGTTTTGAGTAATTAAGCAAAAATATTCTATTAATGGGACCTCACTGGATATCATGTTTAGCCTTGGTAAAGTTAGGGTCAATGTCACTATTTTCTCACTTCAGCCTCATTTCATATGGTAAAAGACCTGATATTATGATGATTGTCACCATGACGTTTATTTGCATAGTTTTTTGTTTTCTTTATCAAGCATTCGTGCTGAAAGGTGGTAGTTCACTATTATTACCAATTTCTCATTGTTTGTTCCTAGATTTCCCCGGTTCCTGCAGTGAAATATTCCTTTTTGCCAAAATAGGCTCTTTAAAAGTGAACTCAATACTGTCCCACAGTTCCTTGCAGCAGAAATATTCAGGTTCACACTATCACTAAAATCCAACAATCTAAAGGGCTTGGTTTGAAAAACACAATTTTTTTTTAAAATATCAAAATCCAATGTTTTTCGAGGTGACTAAGGGATTTAGTAAAGTGTTCGGTCATTGATGGAAAGTGTGTTGATTTTTTTCTCACAAAGAACTCATAGATGCATCATCTGCTTTGCTCTTCCTCCCTTAATCTCTAGAGAGCATGTTAAATTAATTACTTAAATTGACTTTTGGTCTAATGTACAAACACTCCCTTAAGTTGTATTTCCCCTCTGCTACTTGAAGAGGCAATATTCTACAGGACACTGTGCTCTTAGTAGACCTTCAGTAAAAAAGTAACATTAGCCATAGCAAACTATGGTTTTACCATCAGCCACTTGAACATGTCCCTTAAATCTATAATTTGACTTCACAACATTTTCTATCAAGATCAGGGGAAAAAAACAACTCTTTATGATAATTTTCACTCCATTTGTTTTCCCTGCTGGAATATTTAATTACTTCTGTGTTGTGTTGCATTGATTTGTGTTTTTGCACTCTATAGTCTTGATCTGGTATAGATCTCCACAGCTGTGTAATAGTTAATACTGTCTTTCCACAGCCTGAAAGTTTGTTTGTTCTCCCGCAACATGAATGGGTTTCATCAGTCATTGTCCACCATCCAAAATCTTACATGTTATTAATGAAGGGCTATGGATGAACTAACAAGAGTTTGGATTAGGCTGTCTACAAAAACTGAAGGCCAGTGTAATAGCTGAATAGTATTAATTTGAAAGTATAGTCAGATTTTCTTTTGGCATGTGTCAGAACTAGTAATGGCCAAAAGCTGTGTTGGATACTTTGCTGCTGTTCTCCCACCATCTTTGTCTCTGAATAAATTGATAAAACTTTTCAGATATCAAAGGAAAGAAAGTTTGTAGATGGGTGTTTCAAAATGACATGATGATATGGCTCCAACAAGTTCAAGTATCTTGGCTCTTATCTCCCTGGCAGCTCTTGGTTGCCTTAACATCCTCCCCCTGCCAGCTTTGAATTCAACAAGCCTGCTATTTATTAAGCACGTTGTAAGAAATTTCATTAGAAAAACTTTCCGACATGCCTGTTCATGGTAACGGTTGGCATATACATATGCAGATGGACGCCCACCCTGAGCCATGGTTCTGCTCGATGTTTCTGCCTGTTAAAAGGAAGTTTTTCCTTGCCTGTGTCGCCTAGTGCTTGCTCTTTGTGGGAATTGTTGGGCTTCTGTATAAAACATCAGAGTAGGTTCTGACCTGCTCTGTTTGGAAAGCGCTGTGAGACAACTGTTGTTGTAATATAGCGCTAAATAAATTGCATTGAATACATTAAATTTTGGTTTATTTTCTCATTACAGGTCTTGCAAAAGTGTTCTCTTTAATTTGTTACACAATATACAAACAGCAGTAGACTCCAAAGAAGTGTCTCGAAAAGATCTGCATATTTGCAACTTCATTAATTATTCATTTAGGTGAATTATTCAAGAGATTGTCAAAGAATGGTTGCATTTTTTTATTCAGTGTGGATATTCATTTCATTGTATTTTTGAACACATATCATATTCCCTTTCCTTTGTGTTTGAGGCTCATTGTCTATTTTGCAATCCCTGTGATACCCTGCTCTGTCCTTTGTGGTTGAACCCTTTTTTCAGTCATCCATGTTATTCCCCATATGTTGTCAGGTTGAAGAACAAAGTGTACCTGGTTACACTTTCTTGTATTTGCACCATACATTCATTGTTCTTTGGGTATTCTTTGGTTGTCATTACCTTAAAGCTTTGTCTTATACACTCTTCTGTTTACCTTTGTGTGATTTTTTTTTAATTTTGTTAGAAGCTTACCTTAAGAAGGGACTGAAAATTAGATTGACCTGATCCACATACTTGTATTGTAATGGGTCTGTAGGTCTGTTGAGCTCATACTTTCATGTAAATCATTTTGCAGCCAAATATCTTCTATAACTCAAACTCCAACTCCAGATTGACATGGTCAAAACATTACATACTACTTTAAACCTGTTGTTCACATTGCTGTATTTAAATTTGGCCTGGTATGTTAGCTGATGGCTTGTAAAAGAACGGGAAAATGTGTACATTTTATGATATCTTGTGGGGACTTAAAAAAGAGAGTTATAAACTCATAAAATATTTCAGAATGAGGTAATGTTACCAGACTACACAAAAACTTAATATGCTATTTATATTTAATGAAAACGTGTCTGCTCACAAAAAGACTAATTAAGAGTAAAACATTTGATTTTCTCTAACTATGAAAATACATTTAGCTTTTTCAGATATTTTTGAAGGGTTCGAATATGTGTTTTAAATCAATATATATAGGGAATGTAATATGTACTGCATACAACGTCCTGTTTTAAGAAAATAATGTATATTGTCATCCATTTGTTGATTGCTCCAAAAGCTTTGGACAAGCTTTAGCCCTGTGACTGTGCATAATAAAGGTTAATGTTATTCAAAACAGTTCATAAGTACATTGTTTTAAGGGTCCAAAAACTGCTCTAGTCCACCTTTAAAACTGTGTATTGTCACTGGTTGATTGGTGTGTATGTTTGATAGAAAAGGGTTCAGAACACACATGAAGGAAGGAATATGTATTGCATGACTGGAGCTCATTCTGTTGTTCTGCACTTGCGCTCCAAGGCTAAATATTTTAACCTTTCTCGCCTCCCAACATGGTGTCCTCAACCAAAACCTTGTGCAAGCCTCCATCCTGCCGCTGGCAGAGTAGCTTACCCATGACATTCTAATCTGCTTGAGAAACGGGAGTCAGTGTTTTTGCTTTGAGCTCTTCTTCCACTCTCCTCCTCTACTTATTTCATGCTCTCTCTGAACCCAGTCACCCTACTGGAGGTCGCCTTGCTACTATGTGGCACAGCCACACATTATCCATGTAGAATGTTTTGTACATAGATTTCTCGTTACAGTTAACCACATTTATAGAACTGAGCTAACACAATGTTGAGCACTGTAGTATCCAGTCTCAAAACTAACAGCAAAGGGTGTGTCACAAAATAGTGTTTGGCATAGCAGCACCATCCCTCAAGGCACAGTAAGATTTTTGTCCTTTCAAGACCATATCAGAGGAAACCGCTTGCAGAAAACAAGCTAAAATACCTTCGAAGAATTTTTTCAAACTACATTTAGGTTATAATGCTGGTCTTGTGTAACTTGAGCTTAAAATTAATCAACAGTACTCTCTCCGATAAAAAAGATTAAAAAAAATACAGACATTTCTACATTTCTACACAGAGCATAGAATTTGTACAAGTGTTGAGTAAACGATTCACCCACTTCAGCAACTTTACATTCTGAAAGTAAACCGTAAAAGTGAATTAGAAAGTTACAGTTCACTATTTACTTGTAGGGACAATGTGTGTAAGTCTGGTGAAAATTCATGGGCTCCATTTGCATGGTGTGAAACACTTCAGACCCTGATTTGATATCATTCAACAGAATTGTATTAAATTCTTAACCATGTATAGTTTAGTGTAATAAACCATCATCCCAAAAGCGTAAAACTCAAAGTTCCATGATGTCTGCTATCTTATTCCCTGACAACATAGTTATTTTTTTGCTATTGTTTTAAGAGGAAGAAATGTGTGTCAAGCTGTCTCCTCCCTGTTGTAGCTTCCTGGTTCCCTGTTCAGGGAACTAATACATCTATAATGTTCTCCTTTTGACTTTCTTCAGACTTAAGGCGAATGACAGCAGGTTTCATGGGCATGGCTGTGGCGATTATCCTGTTTGGCTGGATCATTGGCGTGCTTGGCTGTTGCTGGGACAGAGGCCTCATGCAATATGTGGCTGGCCTCCTCTTCCTCATGGGAGGTGGGTCTAACACACACAAAGCTAAATCATGTGTTAATACTTTAGCACAAACCTGACAGGACTGCTTGGTTGTGTCAGTGGATGATCATCTTTAATAAAGCTATTTGATTGCAATACTGTCGATTATCTTTTTCTTTTCTTTTTTACACATGGGGATGATTCCGTGTCTATTTCTCTTTCGTTCAAGTAATTTTTCTAATCACTCAAGAATTAACTATAAATCTACCATGGATGATAATAAAGATGCAAATGAATGAAAGAAAAAAAAATTCTCTCTCTCTCACACCAAGTCATTTGGAGCCATGTGTCCCAGTTTTTTGATGTGGGCAGTCAGTGAAACTTTATGCAAACAGATACTCGCATGCACTGCTCCAGCATGACAAGAGACAGCTGCACACTCAATTATGATCATCCCTGGATTAAGGCTGTGCCCTACAGTTGTATCACGAACAGGCAATTAAAAAGCCAATTATGTTTCTTGGTAATAAAAGCACAAGAAATAGGCTGAGTCAGTCTGCAGGAGCCAAATTACAGCAAAGCATTCCACAGAGTCACAAAGCTGTGTTTATCCAACAGTTTACAGAAAAAGGAGTAACATTTTTATTTTTATTTTTTTTAAGCAGCTCCTGGCGTAGGTTGAACTATAGGGCTGAAGTACGACCCCTGCAAGCCCTTCTTACGAAAAAAGCTTTATGAGCAGGGTTGACTTCAGGTCCCATGAGACTGTGGACGCCAAGAATAGTAATGAATCCGCTGTAGGGACAGTTTTGTTGATTATTTGTTTAAATAGATGGATACATCAGGAAGGACAGATCATACAACAGACCCATAGAATTAGAATATGTAAAAATACATGGGGACTTTGATTCAGAAGCAGTTTTATGTGTGGGAATCCTTTTCATGCACCAGAGTCTGAGCCATTGATAGTTTTTAAAAGAAAATAATGCCAGCAAAAAAGCATTCTCAGAAGATTCTCAGAATTTCTAACTTCTAACGTCAGTCTGCTTAGTGTCAGAGTTATTTAATCCATAAATGTACCATGAAAAAGTCCCCAGTGTCTGAGTCCTTTATGGATTTCTATATAACCTGAATTTCCGCCTCAAATGACTGTGAGTCAGGATTGTTTTACAAGATTATTTACATTGTTTTAAGGACACATTCAAATCCTAATTTATGGTAAGATACTCAGATATATCATGACAGGGATGCGCTTTAATCTTCAGTGACCTATTCAAACCTACCAATAAATAGTCTGTATTATTTGTAGTGCACTTTTTACATGTAAGAATCTACTTTATCAGCTGTAATTGCTCTTTAAAATAAACTCTGATCTTTATACTACCTTGATTTGATGACTGTGGACTTTTTAAATACATTTTTATCTATATTAGTCAATATGGACAAAAAAGTTCTGAATGGTAGATACCTTTCCATGGGAACATTTGGGACAATGTTATCTCGCATCAAAGATGGTTAACTGGTTAATGGTTAATATCATGTTTACACTTGTATCTTCTCCTGCTTTTACAGGAACCTTCTGCATCATCTCCCTTTGCACGTGCGTTGCTGGCATTAACTTTGAGCTTTCCCGTTACCCACGGTACCTATATGGCCTGCCTGATGACATTGGACATGGCTATGGCTGGTCCATGTTTTGCGCCTGGGGAGGTCTCGGCCTCACCCTCATTGCTGGCTTCTTCTGCACTCTGGCTCCCTCTGTCCAGCCAATACCGAGATCCACCTGCCCCAAGTCTCGGCAAGAGAATGGGACCGTCTGCTAAAGCTTACAACTGTGAGAAGAAGAGAATTGACTGAACCCACCAACTGACAACAAACAAAAAACCTGTTCCATTTGTACATCTGTTTACTCATCTCCACGCTATCCTGGTTGCAGTATTTTTTTTTATATGTGTATGTGTTTAAAATGAGTGTCATGATGATCTGCTATGTTGAAAATACAGGAAAAACAAAGGACCTTGACACAAAAAATAAATAAATAAATAGTGCTTGTTTTGTTGTTTTGGGGCAGATGTTGAAGTGGACAATGAACAAAAATAACAGCAAGAGGAACTTACGTTAAGACAATGAAAAACTAAGGTACTGTCTATGAGTGTCAGTCCACAAAATGTTGTTCTTAACCTTAAGATGGACAAGAAGTTCAGCCAGAGCTATCCAACTCCAATTAATCGACCTAGTGTGATCAATCAAGAGACTTGTGGAGAGACTATCAGTTTGTTGTGATAAAGTAAATATCTTAAGGAAGATTTTCATGGACCTGCTGGATGATTCTCCAAATATGGACCAAACATGAAACCATGTGAGTTGTAAGGGTGGGTTCATGGTTAGGGGCTATCCTTTAGCTCTCAATATTTCCACTCTTGAGTGGCCCTCAGTGACGTGGAAATGAGGAGTGGTGAGAAGATCTAAGACTTTTACTTCATTGTACATTTATTGTACAGAATATTCCAGAAAAATAACAACCAGGAATTGTCTTATTGAGTCATTCTCATTCTCATTTGGTGCAATATGATTCTTTCTAATGATCATATATGCCATGTAGATTTTTTACATGCTTTTGTCATTGTAAGTTGTGTTTCTTACTGACCATAGAGTGAGAGTCTGGTCAGTGCATATGTTTGTTGAGTTTCTTTTCATTTCAGTCGTAGACGATTAGGTGTGTGAGAATGTATGAGATGACATACTTTACAATGTTTAAAGAAAAATTATCTAAAAAAAAAAGAAGCAAAATGGAGTCCTGCCTTTGGTACAAAGAACCACTGGAGCTTTGATGAAAGACATGATGGATCCACTTTAAAGGGAGCAGCAATGTTTAGCAACGTAGTTTACTGCCCTGAGCAATGGTAAAGAGATAAAATCTAATAAGAACACAGCAGCTTTATTTTCTGGTTTACTGGTTTTCCTTTTCCAGGAACTGAGGCTCTCTGTTAGACTTTCTCTTTCTGAAAAAAAAGAATACGAGCACAAATTTTGGAAGACTCCATTTATTCAGCTAATGTCTAAGATGTCAACACTCAGAGGGAAAATGTTCTGTAAGTGACTAAGTTGCCCACCATGAGTTTATGCTAGAATTGCTTTTGGTTCTATGTAAAAAAGAGAAAGTGACAATGTAATCCTTGAACATCAGGGGGCTGTGCAAGCAGTGACAATGTGCTCCATCGATGAGCCTTAAAAAAAACAACACTCAGTACATTAGGAGGTAATTTGGCCTGTGCGATAATGTACCAGTTCATTTGCTGATAACGGAGAATGAATCCACGTCAGTAACAAAGTGTGGGAACTGTATAATAATTTTAGTTAATTACTACTTGGGTCATATTTTTCTAGCTTTTCCGAATTTCATATTTGCCAACATCAGTGTTATACTAAAAACTGGGTCAAAGGAGTTCTCAGTATTTTATTTTGTTATGTGTAATTAGAGTAAACTGAATGAAAAAAAATGATAAAAGGTGACTGTAATTATTAATTGGATTTGAATGACACATTTTTGGATGTACTACAAAGAGGACGCAACAATGTCTCACCAATCTCAATCCTTTGAGAAATTCCTTTTCAGAAATCCAGCTCAACCGTCGTTCTTCATATGAAGATCATTGCTGACATGACAAATTCCAAGAATATCTGTGTTAAAATATTATTTTTGGTGCTTATATTCTTGGATGCCCCTCAGTCCCAACTTCTACTGGAAAAGTTATAAAGCCAAATGGATTCTCAAACTGGTTTGGAATGTGTTTTCCAGCTCTACTGGGCCTGAACATTTGGAAATATAAATTGCATCTTCAGCAGATGAAAATTGACTTTTTACTTCGTAAAAGGACAGGAAGTGATAGGAAAAAAAGATAAATGCATCAAAAGGTCAACGTTCAAAAAACAATCCTCAGATTAGACTGGCATTCATTTTGTTAATATGGATTATTGCTTTCAACCTCATCTCTTGGTTTTTTCTTGACTTGTTGCACTTACTGTGTTCTCAGAACTCAGGAACTGAATTGTTTTTCTTCTTGAGAAACTATTCAGTAAGTAAAAGACCCAAGAAGTAATTACTGCAATTATTCATTAATAAAGAAACTTCCAGGTTAGTTACTCATGTAACACGATGTGGTGCTCTTGATGGGCTGAAGCCGTATCAAACACCATACTTATTAATTTTTCCATATATTACGGTGTGTCATTGTAGAATGGGCTAAAAAGGCATTATTTCAAACACAAAATACAGTTAGAACTTGTGGTTGTGCATTAATTCAGTACTGTCCTCAAAATAAAGTAGTTTTGTCTCCAGTGCAGTTACAGTTGTCTTTGTGGGTCTACTGGGGAGATAGTTAGTTTAAAATAATACCACTAGTGGAAAGATATGGGTAGTCAATTTATTGAATTATTTCTTAAAAAATACAGTACTGATACACTGATTTTAGGTATATATTAATCATCATAATAACAATTTTTGAAAAACTCTACTTTTATGGCTGTGTATGAATATGAATATATTGGGATTTGTAATGGAAAACAAACTACCTGGAAAATGGGTTAGAAACTACAGTAGCTGAGATTAAACTGAAATATTACTGACAATCAATAGGGACATTCATCAAACACTCTCCAGGCCTAAAACCTACTGAATATCTACATTATGGATTTGCAGTTCAGTATCCATGCTGCACCTCAGTAAATCGTGAGAACTTCTTGTGCTTGCCAGTACCACTTAGCACAATACATTGCGGGTTCATATAAAAACTACTCTTATATCCCTTTTTCTCAAATGAGGCAAAGACATATAAGAGAATAAAACAGACAGAAAACTAGAAATCAGGCAGCCCTTGTAAGATAAAAAGGCAAGAAATCATGTCAGTTTGCAGTAGTATCAGATTAGCCATCAGTGCCAAGGTTAGGTTTAGCCAGAATTCTGTAATTCGTTGCAACAGCATGTGCCAATCTTGTCATGTTCAGACGCTACTCACAACTGGTATACTGCTTGTATTTTCACCACACATCCAATTTCTCAGCAACAGAGACCAATTCATTTTGCATGGACAAGTCAAATGATCAGTCAAATAGTCTTGGATTTTTTTTCTTTTTTACAGCAAACTGATTAAGGAACTCAAATTTCTGTTTGGTAGTGCACTACACTAGCCTTAAACCGTGAAAGAACATTGTTGCACAAGTTGAATGTGCAACAATACTTTCCATGACTCAACTGAAACACAGTCTGATCATGTCAGATGTGCTTTTTTATTTCTGTTACAAAAAAAAAGCAAAACACTACATTCCTGCCATTGATATCAAGTAATGATAAAATAGGATTTTAGAAAAAAAAAATCTTGCCACAAAATATTTTTCATAATTCTTTCATCTTTCATTAAGGCAGGCTTGCCAAAATCTTGCAGGAGGCTTTCTCCTAATGATTCCTTCCACAAGTTAGCACAAGTTAGTATGCTAAAAAAAACAAAAAAAACTCATTTCTTCTTGGATAAGGTGCTCGGTCAGTGAATATAGCTTCCTCGGCTCACTGCTGCTCAAACTGTCATCAGTGCCTCTTTCAGCCTTTGTACATTGCCATTGTTACTCTTAATCTGCTCCTCATTGATGCTATTGCCTGAGGACTCCTAATCAACATCATAACCTCCAGCCTGCTTCCTACTCTTAACTACATCCCAATGTGAACTTTTAGCATTACTGTTTGTTACGATACTGCTGGCACTGCCTTTACTATCAAACCTAGCAACATCGCCTGCCACAGCTTTCAACAGTCCACAGCTCACTTCTCATGTGGAAAAGACTAACATTTGAAGCCAACATTGGCACTTTCAATTTGTATGCAGTAGGCTTTGGTAGAACACCATTCGTTTGGCCCTCTTTTTTTTACATCTCTCTGGAAACTGTTAGTTCACATTTTCACCCTTTTGGTGAAACCAGCAGCTGCTCACTTTAAGCTACCAGTGTCATGAGGGTGGGTCTTGAAGGGGAGGACTCAGGTGCGGAGATGAGGGAAACAAGGTTTATTATAACAAAACGGTGGAAGTCCAGACAAAGTACAAAGCAAAGCTGTGGAAAACTGTGATCAAAGTATCAAAGCAAACCAAACACGACTGTGGCAAAGTAACAAAATAACGATTAACAAAACTGTGGCAAAACTGTGACTGACTGTGGCAGAACTATGACAAAAACAAACCTGGCGTGGGGGTGACGAAGGACAAAACAAGACGGACGAAACGGACAAGACGCACTCGCACAAGACGAGGGGAAACGAGGACTATTTAAACACATGAGGGAGGGGAACCCCATGTGTACACAATAGGTAATCATGACATGACGAGACACCAGACGTGACAACCAGAGACTTTCAGTTAATGATTTACACTGGTAAAGGGTTAATGAGGGTTAGGTAAATGTGTGTGTTAAGTAAGGTGAGTTACAATATGTTTATGTTGTCTTTCATTAAAACCTTGGTATCCATTGTGTTTCTTCTAAATCCAGGCAAACACATTTAAGCTGTTCTTCCACTCATACTAAAAAGACTTCAGCTCTATAAATTCTGAAAAGGTCTGGTATTGTAGTTATAAGTTATCAACAGATAAAACTAAACTAAACTTTCGAATATGAGATGTACATATTTTAACTGTCAGGGGCAGAAGCAGCAATAAAAAGTGGTAGGGAGGGAGATTTGCAGCAGAGGTAGGTGGGTAGTTCAGAAGGAGTCTTCAGTTCAAACTGACTTGAACATAGGATGAAGGTAAGAAAAATGGGTAAGGCAATCATTTCCAGTCAA